AAAAAAAAAAAAAAAGAGTTAGAGACCAGTGAGCAAGAGTGAGACCCCGTTTCTCCTCAAATAGAAAAGTTAGCCAAGTATCATGGGAGGCTGAGACAGGAGGATCACTTAAGCCCAGAAATCTGAGGTTGCTGTGAGCTAGGCTTATGCCACAGCATTTTAGCCTGGGAAACAGGGTGAGACCCTTGTCTCCAAAAATTAATAATAATACTAATAATGTACAGAGGTATAACTGAAATTTAGAATATGCTTTGTTTCAGTGCTCTCATGCTTTGTTTCAGTCCCATTGATTTTATCTTCAAACTTTTATGTTAAATTCATCTACTCTTTTCCATTGCTGCTGTCCTCCCCATCCAAAACCAAGCCACCATTATCACCTGTTACCCTCCCTCCAGTCCATTCTTTATGTATCAAGAAGCCTGACTTCTGGCTTGGTGCCCATAGCTCTGTGGTTAGGGCTCTGGCCACATCACTGAGGTTGGCGGGTTTGAACCTGGCCCAGACCTGGTAAACAACAATGACAACTACAAAAATATAGGCAGGCTTTATGGTGGGCACCTGTAGTCACAGGTACTTGGGAGGCTGAGGCAAGAGAAAGAATAGCTTAAGCCCAAGAGTTTGAGGTTGCTGTGAGCTGTGATGCCACAGTACTCTACCTAGAGCAACATAGTGAGACTGTGTCAAAAAAGAAAGAAAAGCATGGCTTCTAAAATATAAATCAAACCATACCACTTATCTTTTTACATTGCACGAAGTCTATACCAGAACCTTAGCTTCTTTCTCCGACTTCAGTTCTTTCCATTCTGTCCTTTCTATAGAGTTGTAGTCACAGTGTTATTTCCTGGTTTTCTAACATAGCAACATCTTTCCATTCCCATTGCACTCATTGCATAGATCGTTTTCTTGCTTACAAGAAATGCATTTTATACCATGACCCTTTATGCAAGAAGAAAATTTTACAAAACAATACATATAATGTCTATGTATTGTGTACTTCAAACTACATTTTTTCAAAAACTGGTGGCTGAGACTCATGAATTTATTTCTCAGTGGCAACCCACAATTTGAAAAGTTTGTCCTATCTTAGTCCCTCTATTTTAGTCCCTTGTTTGCTTCTGTCAGGACAGTTTGAGTTAGTAATTATTTTTTTGTATGCTGCTTCTGTAAGCTTCATGAAGGCAGAGAACATGTCTTAGTCAGTGCTATTTCCCTTGCACCAGCAAAGTGTCCAGAATGTAGAAGGCATTTAATACATATTTGAAATCTCTCAAATACAGATATTCAGTACCTGAATATCTCTCTTGTGATGTCATATAAAACTTACAGTTTCACTGAATAAGATTATAATGTTAAAGTCATGAGATGATATAGTAATAGTGGAATAAAGTTCTAGCCCCACCATTTGTGTGCAAGACTAGGTGATAATCTGTCCTACTAACTCTTGGCAAGTTACGTAACCTGTCAGCTATAAGACAGTGGTATTGATTGCAAGGATTAATTGTTGGAGCTGGGATGCTGGGTCACCAGTCCCAGCCCATGAAACTGCCAGGACACAGACTGCTGTGCATTTTTTTCAGGGTATGGCTCCCCATAAGTGCCAGGGAGCCCATTGTCTCAGTCAGGTAACTCTCCCCATCAAGAGGAGCCAGTTGTCTCAGTCAGGTCAGAGGTGCCGAAGTGCCTCAAAGGTGCAACAGTCAGTCTAAGTAGGAGCCTTGACTAACTTCCCCCATGGCTCTTTATAGAAGTGATCCTGTGGCTATTTACACCACAGGTGTGGAGACTGCCAAGCAATGATGTACATGCTCTCATGCTTAACGAGATAACACTCCCTTCCCCATTCCCTTACTACTAAGGTGTTTCTTGTCAGGTGTCTCCTACAATTGATAATGATAATGATGAAGATAATAATTACTATTCATAAGATACTTCACTTGTA